TTTTTCCTTCCCCCCCCCCATACTTTCACTTCTCCTATGGACATTTTCTTCCTATTTCACATTATCTATTATACCTTTTAGTCCTTATTTATACTTTCAGTTTCTCACACCAGAGAAACCATTTAGTATTTACATGTGTGTCCTATTTATTTCACTTACGAGTATAGCCTCAATGTCTTAGCCCCATTTAGCTATAAATGTCTCTAGTTTTATGTTATCTTATCCCATGTGTAATCATCACCAGAGTCAAGACACAAAACAGTTTTATCACAAATATCCTTTATGCTACTTTTGATTGCCACAATTGCTCCTTGTCTCTAAATTGTTGTCATTGGAAGAAGGCTTTAGAAATGGAATTACATACTATGTAATCACTAATATTGGCTCTTTTCACTTTGCATAATAATTCCCTTGAGATCCATCCATGCTGTTATATATGTCAATAATTTGTTTCCTTTTATTGCTGAGTAGTACTCCATAGCATGGATGTATCAACTGCTTAAGCATTTATCCAATTAAGGACAACTGTCTTTCTATGTGATAAGAAAAACCAAACTGTTTTTCCTATTCTCACACATAGAACTCTTCTGTGATCAAATGTGGGACAGGATTTACCTCCAACAACAAATGTTTTTGACACCAACTTTTTTTTGACACCAGTTTAATTCAATTATGATAATGATCTACTTGGAGTTAGGTCAGATCCTACAGGTTAAGAGCTCAGGCCCACAAGACTGCCTCCTACTTCAAATGCTAATCCCAAGTCTGAACCTCCAGAACTTCTGACTGCCTATAAACTGGGGATTTTCACCACTACCCGCTTGGGTTCTGTTATGGAATGCATCTTGATCTCCTCACAAAGCCTCATGTGCTCATAGGTGGGGCTTTTCAGAGGTAGGTGGATTTAGGGTGAGTGAATATGGATTAAGGGTATGTGATAACTACTTTAGTCCACTGACTGGTTTAGCATAGTTCTGGGTGTGGATAATGTGAAGGCCCACCCTGAGTGTAGGTGGCACCAACCAATAGGCTTGTTGCCTGAATGGAAGAAAAGGGGAAGGAAGGCTCACTGCTGCTGCTTCCTGTCTGCCCTGCCATGGACTATCTCTCCTCTTCCATGCCCCTCTGCCACACCACCAGGCCTTGGGGCCAGCTATGTACTGAAACCTCTAAAAACTGGGAGCCCAAACAAACCTTTCTTCCTTTAACTTGTAAGTGTTGGGTATTTTGTCTCAGCAATGAAAAAGTAACTAAGACAGGTCAATCATTTGCTAAAGCAGCTTACAGACTCAGGTAAGTGCTTTACTTACATTTACTAAAAAACTCATATTCAGTACAATAAACTGCTATACTCTTTCTCAGAGTGATTATACCATTTTATATTCCCACTAGTAGTGTGATCTAATTTCTCTGCATTCTTGCCAGCATTTGGTGTAATTGGAATGTTTTTAGCCATTCTGTTAAGGTGCAGTGATTCCTCACCATCGTTTTAATTTGCATTTCTCCAATCGCTAATAACATTGAACACCTTTTTATGTGCTATCTGAACAACCTTTAGAGTCTATCATGTCTTTTGCCCATTTTTAAAGATTATTGTTTTAATTTTTTTTTTTTTTTTGGTGCCAGGGATCAACTCAGGACCTTGTGCTTACAAGGCAGACAGCTGAACCACTGAGCTAAATCCCCAGCCCTATTGTTTTAATTTTACTATTGACTATAATGATGTTTTAAGAGAAGACATTTCATTAAAACTGAAACTGAGGTATATAGCTGGATAAAAAGTAATAAAAATAATAAAGCATAAGTTTGCAAAGAATCTTCTGAATTTTTGGCTATGTTTTATGCTGAAATGTTTTATAATGCTGATGAAAAGGATCTACTTTGGTGATGCTTGTCAACTTCTATTTTGAAAGTTGTTACTGAATTAAACAGGCAGGCTGACTTGCTACATGTTCTAATAACAGAGTCCTGTAACTACTACCTTTTAAAAGCATAAAAATTCATGATCCCAGAGTATTAAGAAGTGTTGCACATTTATCAATTGTATGGTAAGCCATGATCTCTTCAGGATTCCCCATCATATCCCTATTTCTACTACCACACTTGCCATAGGATGACCTCACCACACTGAACTACTCATGAAGTGTTTCTTTCAATTGATTTCCAGTGTAGCACCTGGCATATAGAAGCAGCCCACTGTTTATTGAGCAAATGTGAATACACTATGGGGTAGTGCTCCAAAAGACAAGTATCTCTGACGAGCTGTAATATCTTATTGTTCTTTAGATAAAAGACATCTTAGAACCACAATTTAAAAGCAATTCTAGAAAACTGGAGAGAATATCCTGAGGAAATAGAAGATATTGTATAGTATCTTTCTGGCCCCATGCTACTTTACTAAATTTTCCTAAAA